TATTCATTTGATACAGGGGCCTGCCACGCACACAGCTCAGACTCACAGTGATCCTCCTGTCTCAGCCTCCACAGTGGGACTACAGGCATATACCACCATGTACAGCATGTGGTTCCAGGGATCAAACTTGGGGTCTTGAGCTTGCCAGGTAGGTGCTTATACCACCAAGCTATCTCCCCAGCCCTGGTGCCAAGTATTTTCTAAGCTAAAAGGCTACACGAATAAAAATTATTTTACTCTCTTTTATAATTCAATAAAACACAGTTGTATTATCTTTTGAGGCAGAGTCTATAATTCAGAGTGTCTGTCAAATAATGAAATCCATTTCAGGAACAAGTATAAATTACTCAGACTATAACTGTTAAACATCCTGCTGCTCTTTTTCCATTTGTGTTCAGTTTACTCGGCACCTAAAAGGGGAGAGGGCGGCAGTAAATATGGCCCCAAATTGCTCATGCAATAGTTGATGTTGAACAGCAACAGTACCTTTATCACTTCCATAATAGTAGAACACTGCTTTACTGAGAGCACACCACCGTTTCTGCCACTCAAATCCCAGAAAGCTGTGATCTGTAATGAAGAGAAGAAAAGAACAGTTTAAGTAACATGTGTGACTGATATACATGTAAGGCCATTTCTTTATTATAAAAGGAAAAGTTAATTTATTTTTTAATTTTATTTATTTTTTTATTAATTTTATTAAGAAAGAAGTAGCAATGAGACAGTTTTGAGACAGGTTAGTAGGACAATTACAATAATTAAAACATTGTATATTGTTGGCTTTGTGGAAAAGTTAACTTAAAAAAATATTTTCAATCATTTATTTATTTGGCACAGGGTCTTCCTACACTGCTCTGCCTCACAGTGATCCTCCTGTCTCAGTCTTTCCAGTTCTAGGATTACAGGCATGTGCCACCATGCCTGGTCTCTGTGGCCTGCAAGTGGCACCTGAGATTCCAGGGCCAGTGCTGTGTGCAGTACCAGAAATGGAACTCAGGTCCTTGTACTTGCCAGGCAGGTGCTTAGACCACCAAGCTATCTCTCCAGTCCCAGAAAAGTTAATTTTCTAAGGCTCTTTTTAGCTCTAATATTGTGACTAATTATTATGTATTTTCTATTTCAAGAGACAAACCACCACGACCACCAATAAAATTAAAAGGAATAAACTGAAGCAGAAATGGAGCTGCCAACTTAGGAGCTCAATTACCTGACTACCCAACTTTCCTGACAGATACCATTTCAAAAATTTATCTCAAAAAAGGCAATTCGTCTGGACCTCATTTTCTTATGTTATAAATGGAAGGAGGAGGAGTTAATACATCATATGTCTATTATCTCTTTAAGATTCAGCTAAGAAAGCTAAGAAAAGCAAAAGCACTATTAACAAAAGGGCCCCAAAGAAACTACTTGAGAGATAAGCAGGATGGTATTAAAGAGAGTTTCTGCTTTTCATTTCCAGAGCTCAACACCACCTCCAAGTTTCCTTGCCACGAGATCTGGGTGTTGAAAGACTGAGTCTCTCTGGTCCACCCTCAATTACCATGGCCAGTGGAGGGGAGCACTGAAATGAATATCTGGCTATAGCAGACAAGAGGCCAGACTTTCTATGACCACAGCAGATGTGGGGCTCATCGGGTCAGGACCAGAATGGCCTGCCAGTCACCAGTCTGGGACAACACTGAGAAATCCCATCCTTGAGAACACTGGCATGGCTCACACTTTTTAGAAGACACAGGAACCAACTGGATGAATCATTAGACATTACCCAGCCTGCCAACTATCCAATTCAATGCTTTGTTTTGTTATTAAAATTATTTAATGCTGCATCAAATATTTTATGTTTTAGATGTCATCCAGAAATTTTTACAGTCCTAAACTGTTCCATCACCTGAACAGAATACTGGCTCCACATGTATACTGCAAACATGTTTTATCTACAGGTGAAACCATTCTTATATTTTCCATTAAAATCTTACAGTTTACCTTTTCTGCGTTTTTCCAGGTAGCCAGCCTTTAGAACGAAAGGGAGGTCCTGTGCTGCAATTGGAGGAAACTGGGTTCCTGTAGGAAGCAGAGGAGAGAAAAAAAAAAAAAAAAAAAAAAAAGTAAGTAATCCATTTCAGGAAAACCAAGTGCCAGATCTCATTAGACATACACAGTGTACTTCTAATTACTAAAACTGCTTAAGTCCAGGTCTATTAGCTTTGTTTCAGATCCATTTCATAGGACAGTCCCTCTCTTCCCTTCTACAGATCTCAAGAGCAAGAATGTTCTGTAGTCTTCTATTTTAATATATTACAGCCCCAAAATATAGTAATATTCTGCAATTGGATTATCTTAAAAGGCTGATAGTTTTCAATGTGTACAAAGGCAGACATACAAACTATCACAAACAAGTGTAACAAATGTCTGAAAGAGGTTAGGAACTTCAAATAAATCATATAGGCTTCTTTAAGCTTTTATTTGGTTAACTCTTTGAGAATTTAAATGCATATTGATTCTTGCCTCCTATCCTTATTCCTATTAAGTAAAACACAAAACTATTGTTCCCCAAATCAAGCATTAAAATGTGTTGCTCTTAGTCCATACCAAATTTCCTCCTCCCTAGTTACATTCAGATAAATATTACTGATATTAAACTGAGTGAATATACTGTAAGTTTTTTAGGACCCTTAAAAGCCTAAAAATTAGTTCTGATAGAACTCCCATACATATTAAATATCTTTAAAAGGATTAAAGCTCATTAGAAATTGTATATTCATGGTCATGGGTGAAAAACAATTCAGTAATTTTATGAATATTCACCATTTTTATAAACTTCATTAGGTAAATAATAGTTATCACTAGTGTTTTACTAGAATCCAAACAAGTGAAAACCACTAATTTCATTAATACATGATAGATGTGGCTGATAAAAATTTCTAATATATAAATTCATCATTTTTTGACATAGGGTCTCAGATATTGAGCTGAACTGCCCAATATATATATTCACCCCACACATTCTATCATTCCTCCTCTTCCTTTTCACTCCTCTCCCTGGCTACTCTCTTTTCTCCCTTTCCTGCTCCTTCCTCATTTGGGAAGTAATTTTTGTTTTGTACTGAAAGACATGCTAAAGGCACACATTTTTCTTCAAAATAATTTAAATGTTTTCCTTAAGAGAGTGTTTTACATAGAGCATTTACAGTGGTCACCTTGGTTCACAAATTTAATTTGCTCTGTGATTTTGGAAAAGATGGCCACATTTGTATTTGTGTGAGAAAGACGGCTTGTGAGAAAGACCAGTGTTTGTCACCTGGTGGAGAATGTGCAAGCAGAAATACCATTTTGCCAAACCTTTCTATTTATGTACCAAATCATTTTCAAACAAAAGCATTCATGAACTGAAGCATCACTGTATTTTGTCAGGGTAAATATTACGGGACTACTTCTCTAGAAGACTAGACAATACTATCACTTCTTAGGCTGGCTGCGGTAGTGTATTCTTATAATCCCAGAACTCTGGAAAACTGAGGCAGAAGACTGTAAGAGAAGCAAAACCTTTTTTTAAAAATTCACATTTTAAGCCATTATTGCTCTTTGTCCAACAGCCATGTAAATTCTTTTAAAAACAAAAGTATATCAATAGCAATTCCTTTACATACTTTATTTTTAAGTCCTCAGAAGAACTATTTGATTTGTATAGCATCATAAATATATAAACACTTCATGCTTTTTTATAGCAGAAATTAGGTATTTGTTACAAGATATAAAAATGTGAGTCTTCACATTGTGTAAACCTCATAAGATTGCACCTATAAAATCAATAGTATGCTACTCTTTAAGAAAATCCAGATTGGCCAGTGTTAGGGGTTTGTGTCTAGTCGTTCCCTCAAAGCCTCTTGCAACCACTGAGGCTGGCTTCTAGAGCTGTGATTAATTCATGATCCAACGCTGGGATTATGGGTGCGAGTTTGCTGGGATTTGGGTATGAGTGCTACACCTGCCCTGGGCCAGATAGCCTGGATGCAGCCTAAGGAAGGGAGATAGGCTTGCTCTCTGCCGCTGCTCCTCTCTTTTTGCTTTGCTTTTTTGCTGTTTTCTGCCGCCATGAGCTGCTGCCCTCTGCCATGTGCCACTCTGCCTTGGAGCCAGCTGAGTATGGGCTGAAACCTCTATAGACTGTGAGCTAAATAAACCTTTCTATCCTTAATATTGGGTGTTGGGTATTTTGTACCAGCAACAAGAGAAAAGTAACTGAGACAGCCAAAGAATTAAAATTCTACAAATGTAAGTATAATACATCAATAAAAGAAAGATAAGGATAGCATAAATCTACCTAGTAGGCAACAATGAAGAACTGCCATGCATTTCCCATACACCAAAACTTTATACTACTTTGAGAAACTATACAAACACACCAAATTATTCAACATTTCAGTGAGTTCATAATTACATATCAGTTCTATGGACTGTTACAATTCACATACTTGTCCCAAAAGTGAGTTTTAACCAGGTCTAAGTCCTGTATCACACAGGAAGCATCTGGACTATGTTAGGATTGTTAGTTATTATTGTACGTCAGCACACTATTAGTTGAATGGCTACTGATGCAGATGTAAGACCACTGCACATTATATAGAAAATGTCCATCAGAAAGACAAGCAAAAGCATACTTTGGTAATCATACATGGCAAGCAGTGTGGTCACTGTTAAAGCAATTAAAAGATTTCCTTGTAAGGCGAAAATGGACAATGAAAAAATTATGTCCTAAGAACAAAAAAATACTAATCCATACTCAGGCCAGTTGATTTGTACCTGTAAAAACTACCACATGCTTAAGGAGTCACAGTTTTCAGTACACAGAGGAAGGACTGGTTATCATTTTATAAAAGGACCATGTATTTTGTATCTGATTGTCTCACTTTTCTAAAACAGCTCAAAATATTAAGTATTAGAACTAACACTCTGTGCAAGTAACTATGTAAGAAGCGGATCACCTCCCAACCTGTGACTTTTATTAGATGCTAAACTTTAGGATAAGGAGACAGCTATGGCAAAAATAGAGGAGTGCATCAGAAGCATTCAAGTAGATGGCTTGGCATGGCACTCCCCTAAGCCACTTTAGTGGGAAATGAAACTTAAAACTTTCAAATTCAGTATGTACTTCATGATGATAAAGTTGGAGCTCACATGCTAGAGGTGCAGATCGATATTTTTGAGAACTATGTATGTGTTCATGTATTTGGCTACTTACTTCCCATGCAATCTAAAATCCACCCTGACGTGACATTTATAAGGAAATGAATGCAACTTGAGTCCATACTTATAAGTGAAATAAATCAGTCTCAAATGTATAAACATCGTATTATCTCTCTAGTATAAGAATCAGAAAGCGTAAATAAGATAAAAAATGTACAATATATAATGTGAAATGGGAAGAAAATGCTCAAAAGAAAAGAGAAACTGGAATGGGGAAAGGAGAAAAAAAGGAACTAGAAAAAAATAAACACACACACACACACAGACAAGATAGTTAAAACAGTTATACTGCTAATTACTATTAGTTTACTGAAAAGAAACATATACTTATATGTTTGATCAATTTTTCATGGCTATATCTTGTAATATGAGTAACTACTTTGAAGGTAACAATAATCAATGTACTAACAAGTATGCCAACTCTTTTCCAATCTTGTTTTGAAATTTTATAACAATATTTTTATTGTTTATTTTCTTTAAAAGTAAACATAAAATAAAATAAAATCTACCCTGGATGGTTGAAATTAAAAAAGTAAAATAAAATAAATTCAAAAATTTTTGAAAGGTGAAAAAGTTGGCAGAAATTCCAAACAGTTCTAGAATTCACTTTCCACTGGACTATAATGGAATGTTTTGCTGAATTCATGCACCTACAAAATTTGGATGGCAATAGAATACCCATCTCTGACAAAACTGAACCAAAAAAGGTGATATAAATGAATGACAATTTTGTATCTACATATACAAAATAGGACAGATATATAGCTACTTTCTCTTAATTCAATAAGAAGAATGATCTGTACTAATAGTGTTTAGACAGAATATCATGTCTGCATCTTGTGCTATGAATGACTACTACAAAGACAATAATATGTAATGTATTAATTGTTGTAACTCACCTACCAACCTGTTTTGAAGCTGTCACATTGCAATTTTTTTCTCAATAAAATTAATAAAGAAACAAATAGAATTCACTTTCCTTTGTACTTACTTTATTCTTCATGTAGGACTGTGAAAAGATGTCAGGGGATGTAACTCAGAAATATTTTCAAAATAGATTTTTTTCATTATCCTTTTTATTTTCTAACTAAAATTTTTAGCTTCTATATTTTTACCACCACTTTTATTCAACTAAAAATTAATTTCCCTTATATTGGAAAAGAAGAAAAGTCATAAGAAAGATTGTTTTTGCTCATGAGATACTTCAATCTAAGTGAAGACCTTGGTCTATTTAGTCAAATATTGAGTCATCCCATGACATGACTGTTTTCCTTGACCTGCAAGGATAAGCAGGTTAAAGATAAGCTCTTCAACAGTATCCTTCTTTCTGTGTATTAATTCATATGAGCAAAACATCCATTTGTTTGTCTAATCTTTTTAAATTGTTCAATTTTACCTGATAGTTGGGATACTAAGTCCCTAAATTAGCTAACCCCCCACCTCCTGGAGAAAGTGTTTCCTTTCATCTCTTTGAGAAATACTTCATAAATAGGCCCATTTTTTTTTTATTTTTTAAGAAAAGCTACCCACTTAATGATATAGCTTTACATTTAAATCACAATATAGTAGGCATCATTTTTCTGAGAACACTTATTTCACACCGGTAACACATTCTCCCACTCCTTTTGTTCCATTGTCTAATCTGCCATAAGAAATAGTCATTGAAATTGAAGTATATTTTCAGGGCCACTTAATAATGGCCATATAATCCAAATGCATCATACTTTTACATAAAAGTTAAAGAATGCTTTAAATTTTGGTTCCAGTGTCTTTCCAGACAGTGGCTTGTGTCTTAATGACATTTTGGCTATTGGTGG